AGAGGGTCGTCGGAGAAATCTTTCTTGTTTTGAGCAAAGCAAGTGGCACGCCATTTCATCTGCCACGTGTCAAGGAGATTTTTTGGGATAACAATCTCTTTTTAGCACGCCTGGTGGGACCTCCTGCTGGCGATTGTCTATCAAGAAAAGTTTTTTGATCCTCTTTTTGCTTTTCCTGGGCATAAAGCAGCCATAGCCATGCCTAGGAAGGTTGGAAAAGAAGTTGCACAACAAGTGGAAGTGACTCCCGTGAGTCCAAGACATTCTGAAGGTGAAAATAGTCCGAAGCATCTTCCACCTATTTCTCCCTTGGCAGATCGATCATATGCAATCCCATATATCGCAATGATGATGAGGAGGAAGTTGATTCTGCTGAGTCAAGCAATAAAATATCTCAAGAACTTCAGCAGATAAGGAAGCTACAAGAAGAAGCCAATCAGAACATGGAGCGTAGTCTACAAAGCTTTCTACAAGCCCAACAAAAACATTCAGATCATTTCACTCAATGTTTGAATGTTATTGAAAGGGCCATTCATGACAATTCTCGAGCTATTCGGGAAGAAGTAGCAGAAAGTCGCAAAACCCTCACTGCAGTTTCTGAGAGAACCATGGAACATGTTCGACAGCAACAAAATGTTCCAAGGCAACCCGTACCTCCAGCAATGGAATTACCACAGCAAAATCTTCCAGATCCTTTGCCCGGGGGGCACGGGGGGCATATTAATCAGCCACAGGTGGTGCAACAGATGCCCAATGCTCAAAATAATGCTCTTGGTGCAGTCCAGATGCAGTTCAATAGGCAGCAACAAAACAATCTTGCTGGTGGCATCCTTGGACCACAAGATCTTGTGGAAGCAGCACTCCGTGCAGCTGACCAACTCAACGCCAATCAACAAAGATATGTACCTCTTGCACGTCGTCCAAATGCAGCCCCACAGCCCAACTTCCAGAATAATGCCTTTCAACTATTAGGGCTGCAAGTAGCACCCCCTCCCTTGGATAGAAATCAACTGATTAATCTAGTCCAAGAGACATATGGTCCAGCTTTAAGACCATTGGTTTGTCCTTCCTATCATAAGCCGTATCCAGATTACATAGATCGGGATAATCCATTTCCTCGTGGATTCAAAGTGCCTGAATTTACTTTGTTTTCTGGGGACGCAAGCTAGTCAACCATTGAACACATTGGTAGGTTCACTATTCAATGTGGATTCAATGTGGGGAGGCATCGGGTGATGATTTTTTGAAGTTGAGACTCTTCCCAAGTTCTTTAACTGGTACCGCACTGACATGGTATCTAAGTCTGCCGCAAAATTCTGTGTTTACTTGGAGACAAATGGAAGATTTGTTTCATATTCAATTTTACCGCTCAGAGCCTGAGATATCCATGGCTGATCTTTCTAGATTGACTCAACGGCCAGGGGAATCTTCTGAAAGTTATCTTATGCGGTTTAGAAAAGCCCGGATGAAGTGCCATGTTGCCTTACCAGAGCAAGAGTTCGTGAAGCTTGCTAAGAATGGTTTAGACATTGAACTTCGAAAGAAGTTTGAGGGGATGGAATTCAGAGACTTCTTTGAGCTCTCTTATAAGGTGGCACGTTATGAAAACCTTTTAAGAGAGGAATCCCAAAGAAAGGCAACATTGCAAGGAACTTATTATCAGGATGCTTTTAACCTTGATGTTGCCGAGGTCTTTGCAGACAAGCCAATAACTTATCCTAATCTAGTGAAAGTCACTCAACAGGTTGAGGCGGCTGCAAAGCGTCTCCCGTATGAATCTGGGAGACAATACACATTTGATGTGACTAAAGCAAATGAAATCTTTGATTATCTGAAAAAGTCAGGACATATTAAGCTGCCGCAGGGGCATAGGCTCCCGACGGTTGCCTAAATTGCATCCAAAGATTACTGTAAGTTTCATAACTCTTGGAAACACTCTACTAATGACTGTGTTATTTTTCGGAATGTGTTGCAAGACAAGATTGACAAAGGGCTGCTTTGTTTCCCTAAAAAACCTAAGGAAGCCATGGGGGTTGATGAGAATCCTTTTCCGAACGTTGATGTTGGAGTTAATGTTGCTGACATAAGGAGCATCTCTCGAAGGACGTATAAAGGGCGAACTTTGGCTGCAGATGACCTTCGTTGGGTGATTGAGAAGGAAAGGGAACGTCGTGCCCAACAGAATCAGAGGCTCGGGGGGCAACACCATGCTGCCAGAATCTATGCATCTGGATCCAAGATGAAGGAGGCTCGACATACAGATCGCTCTCGTATGGTTAAGCCTCCACAGCGACCTCCAAGTAAAAGGTGGGAGAAGGTCGTGCATCCCAAGTTTCCAAAAGAACTTGTGAGAAATCCTAGAACTTTAAGAAGAAGGTTGCAGCGAAAGCGAGCAGAGGCACGTCGTCATCAACAATTAGCTACTGAGGAAGTTAAGTTCCACAACGTTCTCTCGCAAAGGGAAGGATGGTGTGGAAGAGAAAAGAGAGTCAAGAGGTTGCTGTCCAGAATGAATCTCAGCCGAAGGTGCCACCTCCTAAGCTCACCTCATTGATCGTCAATGAAAATGAGTTGAAGGCATCCTTTGAAGCAGATCAGCAAGTAGAGTTGACTAGCGATGATAATCTTCTTGAGGACATGGATGTTCTGCAAATCGGCAGCATCTCTATTAATCTCTCTTGTTTGGTTATCACGCTTCCTTTGGTTTTTCAAGCCAAGGGTAGCGAGACTACCCATGTTTCCAATGGCAGCATGCTTGTTGAGGAAGAAGTGATAGAGGTTCCAGCCCAAAAAGAGGAAGAGGAGCACGATATCCTTTCAGAACAAATTATCTTTAACAAACCAGATGAAAGTGTGGCTCATCATATAAAGCCACTCTACATTTCAGCTCACATGGATGGAGTTCCAGTGAATCGAGTCCTTGTTGACAATGGAGCAGCAGTCAACGTCATACCTTCTTTTATGCTGAGGAATTTGGATAAAAATTCTGAGGACTTGGTTTATACTGACGTAACCATCAGTGATTTCACAGGTGGTGTTAGCAAATCAAAAGGAGTGTTGCCGGTTGCACTTACTGTCGGCAGCAAGACGTCAATGAGTGCTTTCTTTGTTGTAGACTATTCTGCAACTTATAATGCATTACTGGGACGTGATTGGATCCATTCGAATTGGTGTGTTCCATCTTCGCTCCATCAAAGACTCATTTTTTGGAATGGAGGCAAAACTGAGGTGGTCTATGCTGACAACAGACCATTCTTAGCCAATTCCAATATGGTGGAAGCACGGTACTATGATGAAGACGTAGGAACCATTCGTTTTTTCGGCATGGATAGACAAGGAAAACCTCGTGGAATCACTGCTTGCAACAAGCCTACCTTGGCTAAGTATGTGGTTGACGACGTGTGCAATGAACTCTTGCAGCCTATTGCCATTATTCCATATAGGCCGCAAGAGGAGCCCAAAATTGAGGAGTTATTATGAAGAAATCTAGGATAAACAAAGAAACAAGGGAGGCCATATCTGAAATTCTAAAGAAATTAGCGGCCTATTTTGCTGAAAGAAATACAGAAGCAAATCTGTCGGAGGTGGTACATGAAGGTGAGGAGGACACCCATACCGACGGAGTCACAATGGAAGAGTTAGATCTGGCCCCTACAAAGCTGGATGACCTCAGGGCTGATGTACAAGATCCATTGAAGGAAGTTAATCTGGGAACGAAGGCAGAGCCCCGCATTACTTTTGTCAGTGGCTTGCTACCGCCAGAGATGCGAGATAAAATAATATGTTTACTACATAAATTCAAACACTGCTTTGCTTGAGATTATTCTGAGATGCCAGGTTTAGACCGAGAGTTGGTTGAGCATAGACTACCAATCAACAAAGGATATAAGCCGTACAAACAGCCGCCACGCCGTATGTCTCCAGAAGTGATTTTGAAGGTGAAGGAAGAAGTGGAGCGGTTGCATAAAGTTGGTTTTATACGGACAACCAGGTACTCAGAATGGTTGTCTAATATTGTTCCAATAGTGAAGAAGAATGGAAAGCTTAGAGTCTGCATTGATTTTCGGAACTTAAATCTAGCCACACCAAAGGATGAATACCCCATGTCAGTAGCAGATTTACTTGTTGATGGGGTTACATGCCATCGCATTTTATCTTTTATGGATGGGCATAGTGGCTATAATCAGATCTTTATTGCAGAGGAAGAGATAAGTAAAACGGCGTTTCGTTGCCCTGGAAACATAGGTACGTATTAATGGGTCGTGATGCCGTTTGGATTGAAAAATGCAGGAGCTACATATCAGCGGCCATGAATGCAATTTTCCATGATATGATTGGCCGCTTCATGGAGATTTATATCGATGATGTTGTTGTTAAATCCATGGAGGATGAAGAACATTTGGAGCACTTGAGGAAAGCTTTTGAAAGAATGCGACAACATGGTTTGAAGATGAATCCTCTCAAGTGTGCTTTTGGTGTTACAGCAGGGAATTTTTTGGGTTTTCTGGTCCATGAACGAGGCCTAGAGGTGGACAAAAACAAAGCAAGGG